AATCATTAATTTGACGATGAATCTTCTGAATCTTTCAAATCAAATGATGAATCTTCTGAATCTTTCGAATCAAATGATGAATCTTTCGAATCATTTGACGATGAATCATCTGAATCTTTCGATTCACTGTCATCGGTCTCATCATCGGTTTCTTCTTCAGTTGAATCTTCAGAACCACTTCCATCATGATCATCATCGGTTTCTTGATCAGTACTTGAATCTTCGGTTTCTTGATCATCATCGGTTTCTTGATCGTCATCTGTTTCTTGCTCACCCGAATCTTCCAAATCTTTCGAATCTTCGGTTTCTTGATCATCATCATCGGTTTCTTGCTCAGCTGAAGCTTTCAGATCTTCGGTTTCTTGATCATCATCTTCTTTCCCCCAAACCCTATATGATAATTGATAAATTTCAACATCAACGGCATTCATCCAATCTTTTATATCGTCACCATTCCATCTCCTCTCAAGATTCTTCACGAATTTTACATGCAACTCATTGATCTTTATATTCAAATCCATTTCATTTCTGTAAACCCCAGTTCGTTTTTCAATCCATTTCTTATAGAATTCATCCACATCTTTGGAATCATATGGGTATCTCCCTTTTTTGTTGTAGAAGTCAATAATGTCGTTCAAAAGATCAATCTCTTCTTCTATCCTCCTCCTCCTTGGACAGCCACCGCCGGTGGTGGTGGTGGCGGCAACTTCATCTCCGGCGGTTGATGAGTTGGTTTGATGGCATTTCATTCGTGTAGTACTATCGGCATCATCTTGTAATTCTTCATGTTCGTCATGATCGGTGGAGGGTTTCTTTCGTTTGCTGCTTGAAGTGGTGGCAGTGGCACCACCACCACCACCTTGTGGTGACGTTGGTGGTGGAAGTGGGTTGTTTCCGATGGAAGGAGAGGGTGATTTGGTGGAACCATTAGCAAAACCAGGTGGGTAGCTGGAACTAGGGTTTGTGTGTTGTGATTTTGAAGAATCATCCATGGCGGAATCTTGATGGGTTTTTAATTTCTTGTTGATTTCAAGTAGAAAATGTTGGATTTTGAGATGGGTTTTCAGAAATCTAT